TATGATATAAACATAGTATTGAGCTTAAGATTTGAAGGAAAACTTAAGCTACATATATAATAGCAAAAACTCCGTAGAGTTTGTTAGCTAATACAAGTTATAATGTAACCATAAAGCTTAAATTATGATGAAACTTAAGCCAAATATATAATAGCAAAAAAAACAAAAAACTCTTTTAGAGTTTTGATAGCTAATATACCTATATGATATAAACATAGTACTGCGCTTAAGATATGAATAAGCTTAAGTTACATATATAATAGCAAAAAACTCCGTAGAGTTTGTTAGCTAATACATGTTATAATGTAACCATATTGCTTAAGATATGATGAGACTTAAGCCAAATAGCAAAAACTCTTTAGAGTTTGTTAGCTAATATACTTATATGATATAAACATAGTACTGAGCTTAAGATATGAATAAGCTTAAGCTACCTATATAATAGCCCAAACTCTGTAGAGTTTGTTAGCTTATATATTTTACAATCTGAGTATAGTACTATGCTTAAGATATAATTAAGTTAAGGTAAATATATAATAACCAACTCTGTAGAGTTGTTAACTTATATATTGTATGATGTAATAATCATAGTACTGTGATGATAAAAAGAACTTAAGCAAATTATATATAGCATGTAGCTATTTAGTACTGTTATAAGATAAGTAGAAATCTGTAAGATTGACTTATCTTCTCCGAGGAACTGTCAACTGTTGTGCGAGGACCATGGGATCGAATTGGTGGATACCTGAGACGTCCTCGGTGATGATATCTCTCAGATAATGGTTGGCAACCACCATATCGGATCTCCAGAAAATAAACCCTCCATTATTTCAAATAACATTGTGTAGATCAATTGTAGAAGTTAGCGCTCTAATATCATGAGTATTAAAAGCTCATGGAGGGTCGGATTGGGTCCATCCGTCTTGTATGCACGTAGTATGACAGTTCTGATCCAAACCGAGATATAGTACGTGAGATTTCATTCTGCGTAAGTTGATGATAGAGGAAATAATCTGTTGCATTATTCCCTTCTGTTTGGTTCGGTGGAGATAAATTTACAGTGCTCTTGCTGGCCATCGTGATAGAATCATCGTATCATGGAGTCCAAGTATGTCATCCAGTCGTGTTCATAAACCTCACTTGTGAGGTGTTGGAGCACTATATTCAGATCCCCAAGTTGGAGGGTGAAACTTCTGTTTTAATTCTCCAATCAGAAAGTTTAAGTAGGTTTACTAACCATCTAGTTGTGTTAGTAGCTTGATTATGAAATTCAGCTGTAGTCTGAGACGCTGTGGATTTAGATCCACTTGTATCCCGTCGTCTAGGTTATTCGCTGTAAGTCCTTGACGATGTAGGTGCACAACCAGGTGTGTCTGTCCTCGTTGAACTTTATGTAAAATTGCCTGACTGCCGTGCCTCGCCCTAACTTGACAGGGGAGGTCTCTAACCTGAAGAAAGCAGCCCAATCATGAAGGTTCAGATTAACTGGACTGTAAGGAGGCTTGCTCGCTCACTGATATATAGTTGTCACTTGTAACGTAAGTCTTGAACTGTGAACTAAGATCGACCTCCTCGTGGAGGTCGTTGTCCAACGCGGTCCAATCAGAACAAGGCATTTTGATTCTGTAGAATACCCCAGCTGTGATGTCACCGGTGTAGCAGGAAAAACCTTGTATAAAATCTTGCCGCCGTTGATATTAGCATAATCGTCGGTCTTCACCGTAGCTTCCCGGTTACCCGAAAGTGACCACGTGTTTCGAGGGTTAAAGGTAAACGCTGAAACCTCCGCGCGAAATACCTCGCTCTGTAATATTAATGCTGGGTAGGTTATTTTCCTGGCTGTCATGAATGTAACTTCAGTTTTGAATATAATTCCGACTTCCTTATATAAAGGTACAATAAACTTGCAAGTTGTCAGCTTGTAGACTGTATACATGAATGTATCGTCATAATTGTAGAATTAAAGCTGAACTTGTTGTACATATTTCTTCTCAGAAACTTTGACGATTATGAGTTATACTCGCTGTAACAAGGCTGCTGTTCAATTTCGATATTGAATTGTCTGCAGATCTGCGTAATGGTCACGCATGTAGATAATCGTATCGTAGTCCGGGATTGCATATTCTAGCAATCTATACGGAAAGATTGATTTCTGTGAAGATCTATGAAACGTCGTTGACTAATTAATATAGCGACGTTCTGTGTTGTAAATAGCCTGTGCAATTGTCTTCGCGTAGGCTTATAGACGGCATATGGCATACAGTTGATAGACAACTTATGCGATGTCTTGAACGGACTGACGAGTAGCTATATATGACGAGTGGCTAATATATGGAGACCTTGGAGGAGATTTCCTCGGTGGACGCCGGAGACTTCGCGAAGCTCTCGAAGTATCCATTCTAGATTTTCTGTGTGAGGTAGACTTGGAGCCACTTAGCCTTCGCGACCTTCGCGAAGGTATCGAGTCAGAGCCCGATCAGTATATATATAATATATGAGCGCTTGCTTCGCGAACGACCTCTGTGTTCAACAGGAGTGAGTGAGTGAGTGTTTTGTTTTACGCCGCACTCAGCAATATGTGGGGTCGGTGAAGCGCTACTCCTCCGTGACGTCCCTTGTAACTGGTGAGGCTCTAGCTCCTTCGCGGAGGTGGCCTGGGACTTCCTTAGCGAAGCGTCTAGAATCCGATCAATATATGAGCGTTAGCTTCATACAGGGTGTGGTTCTTGCTGGTTCTGCATAAGTAGAGCCGAGTAGATCATCCTATCATCTTCAGAAGTCGTGTCACGAAATCTGGTGATAAGAATCTCATTGATCGTTCTAGATCTATTAAGGCCAAGAACATACGCCTCTGGCGTTTGAACTGTTATGGCTTTATGGTAGGCTGTGTCCACATACTGTGGCACCGCAGCAATCGAGTCGATCGGAGGTAAGGTGATGGCGTCTGCCTCGTCTTCCTTTATCAGGTATGTCTGCGCCGAGTTGCCACTCTTGGAAGGTGAAGAGAGATCTAGGTTGTTTACCATCCAATATCGTATCTCAGCGTCTGAGAAAATGATGCCTCCATCATTTTCTATCCCAGCATCGCTGATGAGAGGTTGATGCTCTTCTGATGGTGGACTGTGTATTTCTATCTCTATATCGGGTGACGCTCGGGGAGACCTGACTGTAGACTTGTGTGCAGACTTGTGTGGTGACCTGTGAGACGATCGACGTGGTGATGTACGAGGAGATCGGCGCGGTGAACGGCGCGGAGATCGTGTTGGTGATCTGCGTCTATGGGTTGACCTTCTCGGAGACCTGTGAGGAGAATGTTGATAGCTTCGCGAAGCTCTTGTGTAGTCAGGTGTCCTTCGCGAAGCTTCCTCTGCGTCCGGTCCTGGGGAACGGCGATTTGACCTTCGCGAAGGCTTCCGTGAGGTCTGATGGTCTGAGTCCGCATCTAAGGATGAAGCCGAGGAAGGTGATGATCTATCCCGCCTTAGCGAAGGCCTTCGCGAAGGCTGTACATCTGGGTCCTTCGTCGAGGTGGTCTGCGACTTCCTTCGCGAAGGTGGCTTCGTCGTGGCTGCTACGCTGATGGGGGTGCCTCTGGGGTGTCGTCTGCGTTGGAACCTTCGCGAAGGCTCAGGCCTTGGGTTGGCTGCTTCTCCAGTCTGTAGTGGCCCTCCATCATGATCATGATTTGCCGCAACAGTTCATCTGGGATGGTCTGCGACGAATTAGTCGGTGCCCTCTCTGCGATGTTAGCGGCGGGGCCCTCAGGGAAGTCGTCTGACGTCAGTGTAGAGACCTCAGGCTGCATGGCGATCTCTGCTGATGTCACTGTAGCTGTCTCCGGTAAGCTTCTTGTGGCGTACGTCGGGGATGATGATCGGCTGATCATCGTAGAGGCCCAGTTCAGCGGCTGGAACAATCTCGGTTGAGAAAGTCCTAGTAGACTTCGTTGATTTCCCCTCAGAGGTCGACGCTGCCCTGGGGGTGCGAAGTCTGCGTTGAGTGTTGGTAGCGACGGGACCCTCAGGAAGATCATAGAATATCAGCGTTGGTACATCAGGCTGCATGTTGATCTGCGCTGACATCACTGTTGTCGACATCGGTCATTCTTTTGATGTACATCAGGTATGATGATCGGCTGATCATCATACAGGCCCTAATCTGCGACGGGAACAATCTCGGCTGAGAAAGTTCAAGTAGACTTCGTTGATTTCCCCTCAGAGGTCGCGTTGAGATGCAGTAGAAACCCTCTAGTCTTCGGCTGCGACCATGGGATGTCTGGGGAAGCAGGACGCTTCTTGGAGGCGGCGGACTACGTCCCACGCCTCTCCACCACTCGGGAGGGGGGTCGACCAACAGCAGTAGACTGGCGAGGGGTTCAGGTGTATCAGTCATGGCTAGACTCTGCATACGCGACCTATCTGCTGCGCGTCTCAAACGCAAAGTAATTATTTATCAAAGGTAGAATTGGATAAATTAGTATCGCAACTGCAACGTGAATAACATGAAACATGGCGCAGTACAGCTAGGGCATATTAAATGCGGATCAGCAGCAGAATAAAAAACGTAATGTGCAACAGTACAGAATTTTTATCAACGTAATCCACTGAAACAGCACGGCGTCCCGTGCATAAACAGTAGAAACACGACTAAATATCAATATATAATTGTTGAAGGATACTAGCTAAACCTCTATAGATGTCTATACGAGGTAACTAACTAAATATAATCAAAGGATATAGTGTGTCGGGAGACACAGGCGCTCTCACGTCCAGCTCACTGGGCGAAGAAGGAGAGAGTGAGGCACATGGGTAGAGGTGGCGCCCTCGTTCCCGCGCTTGTGGAAGGGAGGTAACACCGTGGTGTACTAATTAGTGATTTTACATTGAAGGGAACTTCAATTAGGGAGATACAAGTGTTCCACTATGTTCGCAAGAAGAAGAAGACAAGCAAAAGAGCATGAGTCAGGATAAGGAAAAATAATTCCATTCACAGATACTTACCTAAACCCTTGAAGGCAAACTTCTTTTTGCTCCAGTCTATCATGGCTTTTCTCAGGGAGGCAAGTTTATGGCTTGCCCTGGCTCGAATAATCACCTAAATATAAGAGATGTGAAACATTATCAATGATGCAATGTATATCCATGACATACACCACATGTAAAGCAATTACAGTGAAGCTCCGTTAGTCTGGACTCCGATAATCCGGATGTCTCGTCTCCCGGACAATTTTAGCTTGTTACCAATCTATGCCTAGATAATTTGCCTCGATAATCCGGAAATTCGGTTTCCGGAACCGGACGGTAAGTAGCTGTCACCAATCAGTAAAATAAACAGTAAATTGCTTCACAGTCCGGACGCTGTAAGTCGTGTTCACGAACCGTAACAACACCTCCCGGCAATGTTTACTTAATTAACTGGCCAACTGGGTTGTTGTTTTAATAAGACATTAAAAGCTCCCGACTCAAGATGCTGTACATTTACACTTTGATTGACACCACAATACAAAGGCGTGGATGATAAGTGAGCTGTTTTGTGATTGGTTAATGTACTTTGACAGACAGATGCGGTCACGTGGACTTAAAGTGATTTTGCTTTACGACAACGCTGTGACGCAACAAGTCACAAGTGTGTGCTTCGCTAACTTTGCGAAATGTGACCAAATACCGCGTATCATATTCAACCGATGGATGCAGGAATAATTCGGACATTCAAGGAATACTACAATAGATCGCTTGTTAGACATTACCTCACCTGTGCTGAGGAAGAACGTGATCAGATACGTCGGATCAACATGCCGATGTCACTCGGTAAAATTATTGATGTGATGAATTCAATAAGCTTTACATTAAATGCTTATTTGTTTTATCCAGATTCATGTCGTTTTTGTAATAGTAAGGGAAGCAACTTGGGTCTTGATTCAGTAGTCCGGACTATTCGCAATCCGGACGAATTTGCTGAGAAACGCAACCGTCCGGATTAACGAGGCTTCACTGTAATTATCTGAGTTTTGAGAAAACAAGGATAATGACACTTTATTCTTTCCATTAATAATGTGACACAGTTCAACTGTTCCTTCTACACAGAATAGAAAAAAATTGTAGAAAACCAGGTAGGTACGTAGGTACGTACGTAAACAGTATGATAACTATGAATCTGCCATATGTTACTCACAGACTCGCGTATTAGTACTTTCCTTAAAATATTTTAGCAATGTAACAGCAGTAAAGTTACTTTCATAGAAAATTATACATGTTATATATGCATGTAAGTAATGTCTTCTTTACAATCTGTCATTGTCAATAATATATAATCCCATAATTTCAATAGATTGTTTGTAAAATTAAACCTCGCACAATGATATGAGAGAGAGAGAGAATTTGTTTGTATGTCTCATCTCGTACATACAAAGAATACATACATATGTTGATCAAATATAAATGTACAAGCTGCCAAAGGGCTATAAGAGACACTTGCAATAAAATGACATAAAATGTTGGAATATATGATATGATCCAGGTGTTGAGCAGTGAAGTGGCTTAAAGAGTTAACATCCTTATTGCCAAGTCTGTAACAATGTACAAAATGAAGCAGTTGTGCTTGTCTTAGTTTTCAGCATATAACACAAAGACATTCTGGCACTTGGCTGGTGACAAGTGGTAAGCAGGGTGTCAAATGATGGGATGGGTAGCCTTAGAACTCAGCTTGAACTCCAGGTCTTGATAATCTGAGACTGCTCCCCATGTCCCTATGTGTCTGAAGTTATTGTCTCATTAAAACTTCCTTGAAAACATTGATTGAATGTCTGAACCATGATATTTTACCCCCAAATTAATTGTAGAGCGGATCTCTGGAAGACAGCTGAGATTGCAGGGTCATGTACCTTTAAAGTAGTCCAGAAGAAGAAATATATAATTACCTCTTTAACAGGCTGTAGCCCGTTCTCAGGTCTATAGTCAAAACAGTTAGTGTTTTAGAATTAGCAGGACCTCTAGTATCAGACAAAGACTCATACATGTTACACAGCTTTTAGAAAATGTTTTCAGTATTTCCCTGTTCAGTTTCCTGACTGAGAACAGAAATTGTTCAGCAACTATACACGACATAAGAAACAGCTTCTATAAGTTCTATCCCTGTTCAGTTTGCTTTTGAAAAATGTTTGAAAAGAACTTTGGCCCAGAAGGAGGACTCAATATGGCAGTCATCGAAGGGACATGAGGCACTGTTGGTGCTCAATGTGCAGAGTAGTTCCTGAACACAAAGTATGTAAATATTGGAATCTCTTGAATTGATAGTTCAAGCTCAGCGCATTTTGGGAGACAAGTACTAAAAAAACTGGTGAAAAACATGGTCAAAAACTTCAATCCAATATGGCTGCCAAAGGGAGCAATTTAGCCACATGAGTCCAACACTTGAAATTGAAGGCAATCTGATTCTGAACCTTGGGCCTAGAACCTTGAGATCAGGTGCACCTTGTTGAATTTGTGAAGAGATTCTGACCACTGGTTCTTGAGTTATGATTGGAACAAAAAACGGCGGAATAATAAATCAAATGATTACAATAGGTCTCCAGCCTTTTAGGCATGGAGACCTGAAAATGATCCCAAATCTACTAAAAACACAGTTCATCATCTGACTGCTCTGCATAGCAAGGTCCTACAAGAAATATTCATCATTTGGAGATGAACTGCAGTTCCTGCTCCAGAAACAGGCACACCTCTCATTTCCAGTAGTCACCAGGCATTAGTTTACCACAAGACTCATCTAAATAGCAACTTTAATCCAGGAGGGGTGGGGAGGGTGCGTGTTATAATGATCCACTTATGCATTATATATATACATTATACAGCATGTTTGAGTTTGAGATGTCAGTGCTCACTGACACGTTTGAGTGTACATACCTTGCGTCCTGCCTGTCGGAACACACTGAGAGAGGCATGTCGGATTGCCCACATATCGTTGGTGTAGGGGTCAAACTTAGTCTCAGCTGATGCAAGCTGAAAAATCATATTGTAGTCCTTGAATGGTTTCATAGCTTAAAGCTTCATTTCTCAGATAATCCCTGTATCACATTGGTGTTTGTATTAACTGCAACATCTGACTGTACTTCTATCCATCTCTGGCAAGCCTTTCAACAAAAAAAGTGGACAACTTTAAAAACAGACCCATATCATCTTACAATACTGCACAGAATCCACTTCTTGTTTAGTGTGCAGGTGAGTGGAGTGTGCTTTTATGGATAGGTGCTGTGCTGTTGGAGTTTGTGTTCCAGTCAACTACAATTCTAACAAAGAATGACTAAAGATATTTGCTTGTGGGTCAGAGAGCGTAACAGAATTTCAGCTAAGTAAAAACTTTGTCTCGTATTCCAACAAATGTAAAATATTGTATCACCAAAAGATTTTCAACAGTTACATAAAAATACCCCAAGTTAGGCTGGAGAGTTATCAAGACTCCTAACAGAACTGATAGTAAGAGAAAAGAAAGAAAATTGAATGATAGTCTACATTTAGATCACAACAAGCCTTTTATTGATTTTCAGATTGCATACATATGAATGTTAAACTTGAGTAAAACTAATAACCATAATTATATACTTGGCGTCATTAATGAAGGATCAAGCTATTGGTAACATTATTTCTTAAATGTTGTAAATTCTTCGTTATTGTTTGAAATATATACAACTTAGTGTTCTACAAATTTTCTTAACAGTATGGAAAAGCACATCAGGCCGTTGAAATGTCAATATTACGTTCTTTAATACATTCTGTTACACAGGGGCGTGTCACACTAAGAAATAGCATTAGAAAGACATATAGGTATATAGAGCCTACCCTAGTACTATATATAAGAAAAGGGATCACTTGAATGTCAAGGCCGTCTATGGCCGACAAGTGAGTATGATTGCTGATGGTTTTGGAGAAAGTGCCTGCTTACTGTTGAGGAAATGATTTGTAGATGTTGAAATCAGTTTTTAGACCCATGGAATGCCACTGCCAGTCGAATCTAGCCCTACATAGGTGCTGTCAACGTGGCTGGAATTAATAAACAAATTTAAAAGGTGAGTTTTCGCTGTCTTGGGTGATCCATGATTTTGGCTTGGAATTGCGGAGGTAGCTGTTTTCGGTGAGTTGTGGCGAATAACTTTTGAAATAATGATCCGATTGTGACCATTTATAGCTCATTTTGTAGGGAAATCATCTCGCTTTCGATCCTCGGGGGCCTTAAAAATAGTTTACATGGTGAAATCTAACTTGGATTGAGGAGGGGGTGGTTCCGTCGTTACATCCCTTTCCTTTTATATAGTACTAGGGTAGGGTCTATGTACCTATATGTCCTTTTAACGCTGTTTCTAAGTGTGACAAGCCCCTGTATTCTGTTACAAATGGCACAATTTTTATTCAAATTGTCAATATGGAAATCCACCTGCCACTTAATGTCAATGATTAGAACGTGCAAGTCGCTCTATCCATAGAAAGCGGAGGACAATTTACAACATTGATGCTTTTTCACTGTATTTTTACTGTTCAGGTACCTGTTTGATATCGCAGCTTAAAATGAGTCGTTGTTTGACACTTGTTGAGAGGGGTCAGGCCATTGGCCTTTCGGAATCTGGTCAAACTCAGGTTGTTATCCGCTTTAATGTAGGTGACAGTGCTATTGGTAGGCAGTGACAGAGATTTCAAGACAATGGGTCTGTGGAATATGCACATCGACCAGGTCACCCCCGAGTCACAACAGTCCGACATGATAGGCACATGATTAACACTGTGTTACGTAACAGATTCCTTAACACAACAGATCTTCAGACAGAACACTCCAATGTTAACAATGTAAGAATATCCCAGAGCACCGTTCGTCGATGTCTAAGGGCAGCCAAACTCCACTGTAGGTGACCTGCAGTTCGTCCACCACTAACACCACACCACAGGCAATTGCGTTTGAGATGGAGTAGACATCATGGCCGCTGGAATCAACGTCAATGATCTCGTGTGCTCTTCACAGATGAAAGCAGATTCTATTTGTCCTTCCATGATGGTCGGCAGAGGATATATCATCACAATGGAGAGTGAATTACAGATGCAACTGTGGCCACGCATAACCGATTTGGCGGGGGTCGGTCATGGTTTGGGCAGGCATAACTCCTACTGGACATACTCCACTGCACATGGTCGATGGTAATCTTACAAAACAGTGTTATTGGGATGAGATTCTGGCTCCTATAGCAGTACCATTCCTGCAAACTATGCAAAGCTTTTATGGTCAACCCCCTTTACTGCAAGACAACAACGCTTGGCCTCATAGGGCCAGGATTGGTCACAGAATTCCTTAGGATGTAGAGCGGATGGAGTGGCCAGCATGCTCGCCAGATCTCAACCCAATTGAGCATGCCTGGGATGAACTCGGTCGACGTGTGCACACACGTCACCCAGCACCAGTAGATCTCACAAGACTCTGCAGACCTCTAGTAGAAGCATGGAATGCGATTCCGCAAGCTTTCTTTATGAAGTTGATAAGGAGCATGAGAACAAGGTGCACCTGTGTCTTGGATGCGCAAGGAGGGTACACAAGATATTGAATGACCGAGTGCTTCATGTTTGTCATTTTCATTTTGGGGGGTCAGTCTATACAACTGATGCTTGCTTGTCCTGTTTGAACTTTTTGTCTGTATGTCATGATGTGTCACATTTGTCAACACATTAAACATTTTGATGACACTCTCAGTTCTATTATTTTTTAGAAACTTTTCTTTACATGTGCTATATATCATTTAACCCTTTATTATTGACACTTAGAATATTAAAAAATAGACTGGGCATCCTATCCATGTTTAATAATTAGACCACATGACAGATCGAATGTGACCCAAATTGTGAAGAATCATCCAATCTTGGATATCATGTGTCAAATTTCATAAATTCCAATCACACACATTAAAACAGTTTGCCTATTTTAGTGCTGGTGTGCCTATTCTGTACAGAGAGACCTTGCCCTTTAGTGTGAAGCAATAGTAAACCCCTAAACTTGTCCAGGGGTATCAGGAGAAGTAGGATGTGTTTTCTGGTATGCCTCTAACATCTGTAGCACGCATGTCAGAACTTATTTCTGCATAAACGTTTCTTCACTTATGCATCAAAACATTTTGCCACTAAAGTACATATTCACTTATGCATCAAAACATTTTTCAAAATTAGCAATGGAATGCTGAAATTGATACTATTGTATGCTGTTTTTTCTCAACACTTTGCCACTAAAGTACATATTCACTTATGCATCAAAACATTTTTCAAAATTAGCAATGGAATGCTGAAATTGATACTATTGTATGCTGTTTTTTCTCAACACTTTGCCACTAAAGTACATATTCACTTATGCATCAAAACATTTTTCAAAATTAGCAATGGAATGCTGAAATTGATACTATTGTATGCTGTTTTTTCTCAACACTTTGCCACTAAAGTACATATTCACTTATGCATCAAAACATTTTTCAAAATTAGCAATGGAATGCTGAAATTGATACTATTGTATGCTGTTTTTTCTCAACACTTTGCCACTAAAGTACATATTCATGTTTGAGTCCACTTACCTCTTCTGCATCTCTCAGTGTCCTCTTGGAAGTGCACTTTGTGGAGGTTCTCTTATACTCACTCTCTGGCACGCAGTCACCACGCTTGTTGTACTGTAATTATATGAGTAAAATGAGTGCAGACTAAGATTGTGACTGTGAGCCATGTACAGGCATACAAGATATGCAGGATGAGTATCTAATATTGTGGTAATACCGGTAGTTAATTGTACAAACTGGCCCCTTTTAGTTATGACTGTTTGTCAGTGAGTTTGAGTTCTTTTCAACTTTGTAAGGAATAAACAAGTACATATAGTTAACAATGTGATTTACAACATGTGGGTAAACATATCAGCATCTAACTACATTAACACAACACACGTACACAGTATTCTCCTGAATAAGGGGCAGGAAGTCCAACTTCTAAATCCCTTTAAAAGAGTTGATGTTTAATTGATGACAATTTTATAACAGGTAAAGCTCAGGCGTTTGGAAAAAAATGCCCAACTGAACATTTTATTAAACATTTTGACAACATTCAGGCGCTATTATTGATGGGAACACATTTGTGAAGTTTATTTCCCTGGTTCACTAGTTTTTGAGGATATGAATTTCATGGTGTGATTCCCACGATGTTTAGCCTTGTATTCTCACATAATTGCATTGGTATCTTTGCATGATAATGTACATTTTGAAGGTAGATACCTAATAGTTGGAATCCCCTAAAAACCAAGACATTACCTTGACAAACAAGTGATCTGATTTTGCCTTCTTCAACAGTAAAATAGGATACCTGCACTGTTTTTAATTGTTGGTTCTGGCTAATAGAGGACTCACTATGAGGTGATGAAAGGTTATCTTATTGTTAAGCCTATATCTTAACCTATAATTGACACCAATTATGCATTCACAGTTGTTGGAGATACTAGATGCTTGTCAGTAAACAATTTTGTTTTGTTTTTTTCAGTGACAAAATGTCACTTCTATGCACTAGCTGCTCTACCAACGGCACTAGAAAAACCCACCTTCCCCCTCTCTCTCATATTTGTACAGTATATCTTATTTCAGATTGTCAACAATATTTAAATGACCATACATTGACACATAATACTCAAATAACATCCACTATGATTTAACATGTTTCAGGGTATGACAATTATAAAATATTGTTTTCTTTCATTACATCAACAGCAGTACTGTTACATGGTAGTTGTAAGTCGAGGTCAATATACATGAGTTTGGTGGAATTTCAAGTTTAGTTTCACAATATCATTTCTCAATTGGAAATTTTAACGTTCCAATACTAGGGCTGGATATTGCCCTGATTCTCATATTGCAATATATTGCAATACATATTGTGATATATTGACTGGAAGGTTTCTGTGTGTACATCATGCGACATCATCTTCTTAGTTGCTGTTAAACCATATGTTCAGGCTTCCTGTCCCCATTGTGTATGGGTGTATGCCAGTGGTGTACAGATAAATTATATAGAGCCTATATGTGGACTGTTTCATTGAAGTAACTGTTTTGCAACAAAGTTTTGCGAACATAATGATAAAGGTAATACTATAACATGATTTTCATGGTCAGTGTAATGTTTGCTTCAACAGAATGCACTTCAATGCAGTATGTAATTTTTGTTACTGTTTGTCAGTGATTCATTCAGATTCAACTCCAATATAAACATGTGTTAACATGAACTGCTGTAAAATGAAACAAAAACATGATTTAGGCGAACTATTTGAGCTTAAAATCACATGTGACCTCCAAAAACTAAGATCCTTCACTAGAATGTCATTATACTTAAAATACAGTTCGCTCTACCACTATGTATAGTGTAATAAAACACACTTTCCCCCCGAACTATTATAGTTAAAGGACGAGGACCCTTGCGTCCGAGTGCTTAACGTTATAATAGTTCAGGGCGAAAGTGTGCTTTATTACACTATACATGGTGGTAGAGGCGACTGTATTTCTTTTCTAAGATGCCAAATTTAATACTTTCTAAGGATAATTACGATGAATTTAAGGCAGAAAACTAACGACGGTGTCGGTGACCTAAATTAAGGGGCTAACTGGTGCGCTGTTCTATTGATGTGTCTGCCCCCCTACGTTAAGACGAATGTTACCAGAAAAAACCCAAATGATAACAGTTTGATGACGGTTTACGTTCGGATTAAACATCTTCTCTGAATTATTTTAATTACATCTGTAATTAACGTAAACCATATGGGGCAATATGAACGTCGCATTTCTACTACCAACTTAAGTTTAGATCAGTACATCCAGATGAAGCTGAGTAGTCAAGCGACATTCCACAATTGCACTGTGAGAATGTAAACATTGCGAACGTTACCGTGTCGCTGAAAACTTGTGAGTCGAATTGACACATTTTAACCGTCATAAAACATAAACAGTGATGTTAGCTGCGTGAAGCAACTGCAAACTAAGAAACTGGATGCAACGGAGTAGTTTACTGTAGGAGGCCGTACGAGGCGATGACAACTGACATGCATCGTGACGTCGCTTACATTGTGGCGTAATGTAAAATGGTTCGATTACGAGGGGGCACACTAGAATGGCGCAGTGACGGGATAACGTCATTCAATTGTTACGTCATCAAAAAACTACACCTTTATTGACTGATAATGTATTTTTTTTCGATTGTTCTAACCACTAGGCATCTTAGAAAGTCCTACAAAATTGATAAGACTTTGGCCTTTATCATAAATTGGTAACATATGTCCCATTATGAAACAAAAATAACAAAATAATGTGAATTGTGAAATGCTCACTCAGAGCCAGTAGCTCTACTTATAAGTCCAAATAAAAGATTGGTCAAATTTTTTAAGGGCATTATAGAAGTGGAATGCATAAGAAAAGCGGGATATTTTCAAATAACGGCATCTGATGGGCATCCACCCTTCCTACTGTCCCACTGATTAGGTTGAAGAAATTCTGCCAAGGTGTACAGTAGCCCAGCCTCCGTGTCCGTCACGGTCGAGGGAGCAGGGGCGGACCATTTTGCAGCTAGGTTTGGTAATTAGACTGTTGGCGAGAAACATTAATTGCTCTGGATCAGTGGCCCTTTAAGTGGCCTCAAATGGACCATCCTTTTACGAAAAGCAAGATTTATGGATGTCAACTTATTGTTGTGAATAACACAACGTTTCGGAGTGTATGCTTGCTCCTTTATCGGGTCATGAATATTCACAATAAAAAAGTTGACATCCATAAATCTTTTTTAGTTCTTGTCTGATTGTAATAAAGTATCCCAGCACTGTAGGCTTTTTCAGATTTTCAAATGTTTGGATGGTATAGTGACTGATCCAATTTGATCCTATTTCTGTGTCTGTTTACCTCCATATTTAATCATGTAAAACTATTATGTCTACTACGTATGCTATGATATCAAAAACACACATTTGATATATTTGAATCCATAAACTAAACAACCCCACTTTGCCATTGCAAAATAAATCTGACATTTTACTTAGATACATAGGTATATACAGTTTTTAACTAAGTACACAGCAAATGCTTATATATATTTCTTATGTAACAACAAAGTTCTGTTCGTATCTTCAAAACAGTGTTGGCCCATAAGGTTTTTTTTCAGGCAATCAAACTTGCATGCAATACAGCGATTACCACTCTCTTGCTGTAACCCTTGTTTGGTGGTAAACCTACACATGTTATTTGTCATCATTCACTTGATGGTCAGTTAATGAATATATAACAGGTATACCTAGTGATAACACCACTCAGATTAACTGACAAAGGTTAGCATTTGACATTTCTTGGAGTAAATACTCATCATTATAAATTGAGGTCTGATGTGGCAAATGTATTACATCTTATGTAATATGCGCATGGAAGTGCAGTAAGAAGAATTATCAGCTGAGTTACAAAACAAATATCGATCAAAGGATTAACTGATAACACGCTGTTTGATTAATTGCTTCTATCCTGTCCACAGTAATTGCTCTGGATCACTGGCCCTTTAATTCCTCCAAAACATCACATATGAAACCATTCAAACATGATTCATATTTGGTAGAATATTTGGCACTTTTAGCAGCCACTTATAAAGACACTTCCACTTGTAAAAACATGAAACAGATAGGAAACGAAAGTATATTTGGCACTTTTAGAGCTCATTTTGTTGCTATGGAAATGAAGGGCAGATAATTCAAGGGAGCTTACTCTGGATGACCCAATATGTTGCAGAATCTTAACCATATCGCGATAATCGGTAATATTGCACAGCCCTATCCAATACATTTAAATTAGTAATGACTGCCCAACAACCCCATATTCCCTGAATGACCAAACCATTTTCACCACAAAATTTTGAAATTTCACTGACCTGTGTGAAAAACAGTACAAATTCTTCCCAACATTAGGCACTTCCCCCTCTAATGGCACCACCTCTGGGTTGGCATGTTCAAAAGAGAATGTCCCCTATCTGTGGCAACATTTATATACACTAACACATGCTCATGTTGACCCTCCATTACCATCATGTACATGTAAATCATTATTTATGAATAATATTATATAATGAAATGTTAAATAAGTCTTATAATCATAAAAACCTGACCAACAGGTCTGCATAAATAATGACAATTCCAGTCAAAGCCACAAAGGCAATCAAATTCTGGCAAACCTTTATAGCTCACCTTTTCACATAGGGAAGTTATAAATAACAAAATATGCTTGAACAACATGTCATAAAGCAAAATACTGAATAGAACCATATATTTATTAGAGTAAATCACACTTGTTATACTTAACCCAACTCATGCTAATTGAATTGAATTTAAACAAAGCACTATTATCAAGTAATGATAGCAGTGTCAGTACCTACACCAAAATGTTGCTCCTAATTGTAATACAAATGTTGCTAATCCCTCCTCCTGATCCTTTCTTAGTACTCAAACTTCTAAATGCCTCACAAGAAAATGAATTTAACATTTAGAAGGCAAACATGACCACCATTGTCACCAAAGTAACCACAAAAACTGAAATAAAAACAAATTCAAAAGGAAATATTGAGACTAAAAGATTTCACAGAAATGGAACATTGATACAGTTCCACTGTAAACCTTGCACAAATTAGGACTCTTTGTAAACTGTATTTGTTATAATGACACTAAACAGGTTGCACCGTCATCGGCAGTCCACATTTCAGCTTCCAAGGAATATTTTTCAAGTCAGTATCATTCTTCCAGCATTCCATTTATTAAGTGGACCAGTAATATGAAATATTCTTCTTAATTATTACTTTTGGTAACATTACATTTCTCATATGATGGCATGCAAACTTTGGGGAAACATACACCCAAAAAAACAAGAAAAGGTAACATCTGCAACAATTTTACTTACCAGTTTGGGAAAAACTCCCTGTAGAATATTCACATATATCAGGAACCAGTTGAATTAACTCTCATAAAATTCACAATTAAAATAGCACTGTAGGAGACCTAGTTAAAAAGTAAACACCTGAAACTGTTAACAATATAGTAAAGAAAAATGGCTTACTTCATAATAGAACGGAGCAACACTGGATATAAATAGAGTATGCATCTAGGTTTTTTTTTAATATGAATAAGTGAACATGAAAAGGGTCTCAGCTAAATTGTCTGATATCAACTTTTGAACCATTGGAGCCCACAAACCAGTGAAATACTGGTATGTCCACACAAATGCTCCAAACTCATGCCATAAACAAATACAAGGAACATTATGGTTTTAAAAATTTATTCAGAAAAAATATCTAAAATATCCGTGCCTTAAAATATCTGAGAAGATTTAACAAACTACAATGAAATATTTATTTAGAAATATGATACTACACTGGTTTTAACAAATCATTAAAATCCATGTATTGCTACAAATTAATGTCTCCAACTCCTGGACTACAGTACCGGTATTTAAAGAAATTAATTTACAAGCATCAAAATTCTTTTTTTAACTCCATGACCTTTAAATATGCTAGCTATCATCATAATGTTTCAGACCCATCCATTCAGTTGATTCAGGAAAGAAGCACTAAGTAAGCAGTAAGAATAGACAGTCTAATAGGGATGAGGTACCCTAAAAAATTATTAAATGAGCAGAAACGTTTAATGTACTGACCATATAGTCTTCCCAGGCATGCAACCTGTCCTCTATGACATGTGTCCGCTTCTTGTTGGAGATCTGAACCTCGCCGAGTCGTATTTGCCATCTCAGTTGGTTCTGCCTCTCTTCATACACATTTTGACGAACATCATGTTCAAATTGGGCTTCCTGTATGCATATTTACAATACAGTTAGCCAAAGGTTTCTGTAATAATGATGGCATTGATAATTCTTGCAACTATCCTACCTCTAAACATCATTGCCATAAAACATCAGAGTGATCAGAAAGTTCTGACATCAAATCATACAAGACATGGTTAACAGACAAGAGAATTTTAAATTTATCCCAAACCTGTATTTCCATCCATTTTGGATCCATCTTCTTACAACATCCTGTATTCTGGTATACCTAATGGTCGTAAACTAAAATACTTTCCATTGTTTGACCAAAACAAGGTACGCATCATCTTGGAAAAATTCCAAAAGGTCTGATTCAGAGTAATCTCAAGGACATGTGCAAATATGTGTTAAGCTTTCATAAAATTACCATTATATTTTCATTTCAATTCCCCATCAGTGTTTCAATCGAACCTGACTGACCAAGATTTCATCTGACATTTCAGTCTCGATGTTCATGATGTCATTTCCTGTACTGTTGACATCATTCAGGATGACATTTGTCTTGACATCATTCCCATTACTTCAGTCCTACACCTAGTAGACAAAGTGGCACTAACAGTTAACTGTTAGGGGAGCTACTCCCATAATTCAGGTGAGGTCTGACAATATGTTCTGAAGATAAAAGCTTGTGAATATATTTTGAGATTTCATTGGCAACTTGAAATCATTGTTTTTGAGACACAATGCTGTGCTGGCAGATGGAGCTCTAAGTTTAGGTGCATGACTCGGTCTGTATGTACGGAGACCTGAATAACTCCTAAATCCCAATATAATAGAGTAGTGGAATTATATGTCTGGACACACCACAAATCTGTGAGCATAAAATCCAACATCCATGGCATAAAAATATTGTTGGGAGTCCATATCACATCATCTATTCCAAGCAAACAGTACAGACATGGACGATGACTTTCAAAGGCAAAATACTCATTATCTGCTGCCAAATGGGGTAACAATCAGCCATGAGTGGGATACGATTGCCATTTTATCAAAGGGAATGTAGTATGTGATCACTAATAGTTTTCCAATCCATTCATTATCTTGGAAGAAGTGGGACCTGAGTGTCACCCTACACATCCCAATGTCTAAATTTCCTCTATTAAAACAAGAAAGGAAGGTCATAAACAAACTGTGGGTGATGAAATAACCAACTCGTATCAATCTTTCTGGGCCAGATCTGGCCCAATGTCGGGTGTACCAATACCGAATTAGTGACCAAATGGCACATGCTATTCTGAAATCACCTTCTTCCACAGTGATCCATTGAAGGAATAATGGGATAATGCGCACAATAATGCACATATGTATTGGTGTGTGTGATGATTGGACAGTCAAAGGACTGTGGTGATTGATCTTCTATCCCACAAGATATGTCACAAGAATTATATACAACGAAAAGGACCCACGTTGCTCAGGAATAGTTTTTCTTTGGACTACTAATTAGCAGACTACTGCATTGCACTTCTCCAGAGTAATGCTGGTTATACAAATGGAAGCCCTCGGATGATGAAAATTATGAACCACCTACATTCTCCTAACCTGTAGACCATGGAGGCAGCTTCTTTCATGGAAGAAATGTAAACACAAACATGTTAAGTCTGTGCAGATTCAGGGTGTAACTATTTCATACTGTGGCTTTTATGCTCACCTTCATTTGTCTGTTTGATGGCTTGTTTGTGTCCTTCTCGGTCAAGATAGCTAAAACAGAAAAATATAATCAAGTATAAAAAAGATTGCATAAAGGATTCTAACACACTCATAGGTTTTACAAAACAAACATGAGTAAGTGAGTATGGTTTAACAGTGGACATTAGAAATGGGCATCACACCAATTGTCAACTTACCTCTGGATTATGGTTGCCTTATTCCTGTAGATTCAACAGACACTTACAGAATGGAAATGAATTTTTTTAACTAAGTCATAGCTATCCCTAGTGGTATGCTTAAAAGAGTTATGCAGTTATCTCCCTTGGCTTTGACGTCACAACGTAGTTGTTGTAAACCTCTCATGATTTTTCTGAAGAAAACTAACATCTTCTGCAACTCCTCGTGGGGAGGTTGGGCGGGCACTAGATCCCATAATCCAGAGGTAAGTTTACTAATAATTACTAACAATACATGTAATTGTTCCTAATTATAGGCGTAAACATTCCCTCTGGATTATGGTTGCCAGAATCACACATAAGGAAGGAGGGTTTATGCAGATGATTAATACAGCAAATACCACTAACTATCCCGTTATAGTCTATGACATAACAATTAGAATAACTATCACTTAGATGATGAAATGTAAATATATGGATTACCTAGATCATTCCCTGGATATTCTAGTATTCAGTTACCTGAGGGGAAGGATCATACTCGTGAGGAAGAAATATTTGGTGTTTGGAGAAGACTGTGACGTCACTCCGGTCCAAGACGTCATATCCGGTTCTGTAATAGTCTATTTGACCGATTCTCATTTTAACCGGTTTCTGTGACGTCACTTCCTGTTTGATGACGTCACTTCCTGTTTGATGACGTCACTTCCGGTTCATGACGTCACTTCCGGTAAGTGATTTCAAGTCTTCTCATAGATTATTTAACTGGAGTAATAAACTGCAGCGGATATAATAATTCCACTTACTGGTGATAAATATTAGTAGATAAGGTTCTTCAAAGATCCTCATCCTTCTGTTTACTGTTAACCTGTTTCCTCCCTCACAGTCCAAAACAGTGAACCACTGCTGAGTTTGGATATATCTGCACACCCCACCACACCCTTCTTTTTCCCCCTCAAGGGAAAACAGGTGGAGGAGAGGCGCTGTCTGTAGGCTCTCTAAGGATGGAATGACGTTTCGCAAAAGCAAATTGGTGTAGGGATTAGATATTTTCCACCGGCATGCAGCAACAATCTGATCTATTGAAATGGAACCCCAAGCTGCAAGTGATGACATCCAGGCCCTGGTGTCATGCAGGGAAAACTACTGTTCACTAAGTTGGGGTCACAGTCCTGGTAAACAAAGTGATGGTCCTCCTAAGCCAAGTACTACGCCTGATATTGAGAGTACGCTGGAGATATCATCTCAGAGCTCGAATAGGTCATAGGACTCTAGTTCTGTCTGATCTAGAGGCAGAGGTAGGGAATACGTGAATCTGGTATACTCTGTGGATGAGAGACCGCTAGCAGATGCCCGATTCTTGGCAAGAAAAAACTGGTAAAGTTCTACATGACAGCCATCTATAGCCTCCTGTAAAGGTGATTGACTAAAGTCTATGGCAAAAAATTCTGGTATTCTGGAACTGGAAGCTGTAGCAATGACAAGTAGAAACCCACTTGTTTGGAAGCCGTGGCCATAGGTAGATTCCAGTGGAACGGGTGAATACCCGAAGTAGTAGACAAAGTAATAGACTCAGATGATGAAAAATATATATCCATATGTACCACACCAAGTGGAACAGATTGTTCAGTGGAGACGAGAGCGACAACTCCCTGACCCAGAGTTTGTCGTAGGCATAAAAAATTAGGAGTCATAATGACTCTCTAGTGTCATATGAGAAGGAGTCATGGACATGTTTTGTGACTCAACGTCAGTTTGGAACTTCCATTAAGACAACAAATGTTGATTGTTTAATAACGACAAACAAAACGAAGTAAGACAGGTCAGGTATATAAGCAGCACTGAGCAGTCAGCACATAGAAACCAAGTTAAATTATCTGAACTAAAGGCCCAGTAGCAATGTAACTGGTTAAGAGGAAAGTAGTAGACGAATTAAGAAGCTCCGATGACGAAAATCTATAGCTACCTTATACAATGCCAAGCGTAACAGATTGTCGAGTGGAGACGAGATCGACAACCCCCCCCGAGTCCCTTATACCAGGAGTTAAGGTGAGAATTGCAAATGCCATTAACCAGAGAAGGATGGCAAAGAGATGGCACGTGAGACCTGTCGACTTGTCGTAAATGGTGACTAATGGGATAGGGTGGTGAGGCTTGCTGACGTGGGGAACATAATGTGTCACCGTATCCCAAGTGCGTAGAAACCACCTCCGTGGTGTAGTGGTTAGAGCGTCCGCCCGGAGAGCGGAAGGTCGCTGGTTCAATCCCAGACCGCGTCATACCTAAAGACGTTAAAATATGGTACTTGTTGGTCCCTGCCTGGTGCTCGGCATTAATGGGTACAACAAGGACTGGGCGACTCGGAGTCATTATAATGTGTCCGAGTGGGGAATGCATGCTTCACGGCAGTATGGTATCCCAGAGGGCTTGCACTATAAACCCAGGTGAAGTCTGGGCTAGTACAAGCAGCCGCACATACACATACACACGCATGCACGTCGTCATATGAGCGAAATATTCTCAAGGACGATGTGAAACCCAATGTCACCACACCTAACCAAGTGCGTAGATCGAAGCTCAAGTTGATCACTGGAATGTCTGGTCCAGACTTGATGAATTACAGGTCGTCGCCATAAATTGGAATATTGGAATATAGAAAAGCAGTGGTAGTGGGGGATGATGGTGGTGTCCTATGGGAGACCAATGATGCTTGGAACATTGTATTGTACCTCTTCATATAGATAAGCAGTGGTAGTGGGTGATGATGATGGTGTCCTATGGGAGACCAATGATGCTTGAAACATTGTATTGTACCTCTTCATATAGATAAGCAGTGGTAGTGGGTGATGATGGTGGTGTCCTATGGGAGACCAATGATGCTTGAAACATTGTATTGTACCTCTTAATATAGATAAGCAGTGGTAGTGGGGGATGATGGTGGTGTCCTATGGGAGACCAATGATGATAATACATTAAATGAGTTGATTGAAACATTGTATTGTACCTCTTCATATAGATAAGCAGTGGTAGTGGGGCATGATGTCGGTGTCCTATGGGAGACCAATGATGATAACACATTAAATGAGTTGATTGAAACATTGTATTGTACGTCTTCATATAGATAAGCAGTGGTAGTGGGGGATGATGTCGGTGTCCTATGGGAGACCAATGATGACAACACATTAAATGAGTTGATTGAAACATTGTATTGTACCTCTTCATACAGATAAGCAGTGGTAGTGGGGGATGATGTCGGTGTCCTATTGGAGACCAATGATGACAACACATTAAATGAGTTGATTGAAACATTGTATTGTACATTCTTCATACAGATAAGCAGTGGTAGTGGGGGATGATGGTGATCTCCTATGGGAGACCAATGATGACAACACATTAAATGAGTTGATTGAAACATTGTATTGTACCTCTTCATATAGATAAGCAGTGGTAGTGGGGGATGATGGTGGTGTCCTATGGGAGACCAATGATGACAACACATTAAATGAGTTGATTGAAACATTGTATTGTACCTCTTCATATAGATAAGCAGTGGTAGTGAGGGATGATGGTGATCTCCTATGGGAGACCAATGATGATAACACATTAAATGAGTTGATTGAAACATTGTATTGTACATTCTTCATATAGATAAGCAGTGGTAGTGGGGGATGATGGTGGTGTCCTATGGGAGACCAATGATGACAACACATTAAATGAGTTGATTGAAACATTGTATTGTACCTCTTCATACAGATAAGCAGTGGTAGTGGGGGATGATGTCGGTGTCCTATTGGAGACCAATGATGACAACACATTAAATGAGTTGATTGAAACATTGTATTGTACGTCTTCAAATCGATAAGCAGTGGTAGTGGGGGATGATGTCGGTGTCCTATTGGAGACCAATGATGACAACACATTAAATGAGTTGATTGAAACATTGTATTGTACATTCTTCATATAGATAAGCAGTGTTAGTGGGGGATGATGGTGGTGTCCTATGGGAGACCAATGATGACAACACATTAAATGAGTTGATTGAAACATTGTATTGTACCTCTTCATACAGATAAGCAGTGGTAGTGGGGGATGATGTCGGTGTCCTATTGGAGACCAATGATGACAACACATTAAATGAGTTGATTGAAACATTGTATTGTACCTTTTCATATAGATAAGCAGTGGTAGTAGGGGATGATGTCGGTGTCCTATGGGAGACCAATGATGATAACAAATTAAATGAGTTGATTGAAACATTGTATTGTACCTCTTCATATAGATAAGCAGTGGTAGTGAGGGATGATGGTGACCTCCTATGGGAGACCAATGATGATAACACATTAAATGAGTTGATTGAAACATTGTATTGTACCTCTTCATATAGATAAGCAGTGGTAGTGAGGGATGATGGTGACCTCCTATGGGAGACCAATGATGATAACAAATTAAATGAGTTGATTGAAACATTGTATTGTACCTCTTCATATAGATAAGCAGTGGTAGTGAGGGATGATGGTGATCTCCTTTGGGAGACCAATGATGATAACACATTAAATGAGTTGATTGAAACATTGTATTGTACATTTTTCATACAGATAAGCAGTGGTAGTGGGGGATGATGGTGGTGTCCTATGGGAGACCAATGATGCTTGAAACATTGTATTGTACCTCTTCATACAGATAAGCAGTGGTAGTGGGGGATGATGGTGGTGTCCTATGGGAGACCAATGATGATAATACATTAAATGAGTTGATTGAAACATTGTATTGTACCTCTTCATATAGATAAGCAGTGGTAGTGGGTGATGATGGTGGTGTCCTATGGGAGACCAATGATGCTTGAAACATTGTATTGTACGTCTTCATATCGATAAGCAG